TTATGGATTCCATTTGTTTCTTATGTTGGGATTCCATCATGTTCCTCAGCTCCTCTCTAGATTTATTAATCATGTCTTGCAGTAGGGGCACAATTTCTCCTGTTATCTGAGAAATTATTTCTGATTTCATTTTTTCCAGATCCTCTTTTGTTGCCAGTTCAGTGGGTCCAGGTGGTTGAGTATCAGAGTGTTCCATCTCATTTCCCTTTGGGGTTGCTGTAGATGATATGGAAGTCTGGTTTTGAGACTTGATTACGTGTTTTCTCATTTTGACTGGGCCAGGGGGCTGTTAGTGCCTGCAAGGATTACCTCTTCTGAGGTGGGTGAGGTGGGCCAGGGCCCGGGAGCAGCGGTAGGGATGGTGACCCAAAAGCCCTTTCCTGTGGGCTGGGAGCAGCCGGAGGGATGGTGGCCGGGAAACCTCTTCCTCTGGACCAGGAGCAGTGGGATGGTGGCTCAGAAGACCCTCCCTCTGGGCCGGTAGCGGTGGGAGGGATGGTGGCCCGGAAGCCCCTTCCTCTGGGCCAGGAGCAACAGGACAGAAGGTGGCCCAAATGCCCTTTCCTCTGGGCTGGGAGCAGAGGGAGGAATGGTGACCGTGAAGCCCCTTCCTCTGAACCAAGTGGAACAATGGCTCAGAAGCCCCTACCTCTGGGCCGGGAACAGTGGGACTCAGTACCTTGGTCTGGTTGACTGGTGTCCTCTGCGCCTTTGTAGTGCGGAATCTGGTGGCTGCCTGTCTGCAGCGGGGTGATTCGGTGTCTTCTGTGCGACTCAGGACCTCGGTAGGGTGTGCACAGACCTGCCTGTCTGCAGCGGGCTGATTCGGCGTCTTCTGTGTGACTCAGGACCTCGGTAGGGTGTGCACAGACCTGCCTGTCTGCAGCGGGCTGATTTGGCGAGTGCTCTGCATGACTGGGGACCTCTGTAGGGTGTGGACAGACCTGCCTGTCTGCAGCGGGTGATTCTTCATCTTCCGCGTGACTCAGGACCTCGGTAGGGCACGCACAGACCTGCCTGTCTGCAGCGGGCTGATTCGGCGTGTTCTGTGCGACTCAGGACCTAGGTAGGGCATGGGCAGACCTGCCTTTCTGCAGAGGGTTGATTAGGCATCTTCCGCTCCTCAGGACCTCGGTAGAGCGTTGGACAATTCCTATCTTTATGGTTAGGGCTGCAGTATAACATGTCCTGTCCTTTGTTTTTAACCACAAGGTAAGCTATGTGCCGGTTAGCTTACCACTTTGAGTCCAGGGAGGAAAAAGGGTAAAGTTCAGGTGCTGGCTATTGGTGGGTTTTTGGTTAACTGGCTTACTTAAAATATATGGAATCTTTTTCAGGAGAACATGTCATTTTCCACATTACATTTCACCCCTCCCTACCTATTTGCACATTCATTTTCTTTCCCTGACTGTCAAGCATTTGAGTTTACAGCCTCTTTCACAAAGCAGATAATGGAATGCTAGAAGAGACTATTTCAGCTTTGGGAAACCAAATAAAAAAAGTTAGAGGAAGAGTAATCAGCAGGCATGCAGGAGGCCAAACGGAAATGTGATCAATTACCAGAAAGCGAATGTGAGGAGCAAGTTCAATGTCAGGAAGATCAGGCAAGGTACACATTTAAAGCATCCATTGGTTACAGTACTAAACAAGATCAAGTCAGGTTCTGTGTAATGATTATGCTAGAAAAGCAATCTTTATGGTATGGTCAGGAATTCAAAAATTTAAGGACAAAATACATTAGAGGCTATTAGCTTTAAGATTGGTTTCTTCACCAGGATGCTGATAAATGCAGTTGAGCTTTTGTTTAAATGGTCCAGGGCTAAATCTAAAGGGAGAGCCCTGGCAAACTGTTTCCCTATGGATTTCTATTCCTGCTGCTCTGAATGTCTGTCTTCCCATTCATTTTTCCCAACTTGGGCGCATTCTGACCTTTCCCTTTCCAGGGCCATCCTTCTCCCTAGGACATCTTCCTGCTGCTTTTGTTCAAGGCCAAAGTGATTTGAACCATTTCCTAAACTTTTTTTTTTATCTAGTTCCCTATCCAAAGCAGCTGGCCACTTTGACAGCTGACTTGGCTCATTTAAAGCCCTGACTTTCCATCCTCCTACTTCAAGAGCAAAAAAGCAGAGCCTCCACACATCTGAAAATGAGGAAAATTTGTAAAAATTATTCACTGGCAGCCTGGGGGTGAAGGATTGTCTGTAAAGGGTGCCTAGGGGAATGAGAACAGATTCACTCAAATTCACCCTAACTCGGCTAATAAATGAGGGTGTCCTTCCTCCTCCCTGAGTGGGAAGGAATTGAGAATAATGAGGGAAGCTGTGAGCCAGGGGACTTCACCTTCCCTGTCTCTTCCTGCCTCCAAGGATTCTGTGTGGGATCAGGCCCAAGGTATCCGAGCTCATCCATGAATCTGTATTTTTACTTTTTCCCCAACTATCATTTGACATTTGACTTCCTGGATAAGAATGATTCATAACATCTGTAAAATAATTCCTCTTCACATCTGCATAAGCATCTCTTACATCTGCAGCTGTCTTGAATATTCCTCATCTCATTTGATCCTTACAACTGTCATACATAATCATAATAGTGAAGATAAAAACCATTTAATTCTTATTCTGTTTCAGGTACTGTGCTAGAGATTTTTCTATTACCTAATTTGATCCCTCCAAACCCTTTAATGGAGATATTTTATTATCTCCATCTTTAGGATTCAGAAACTAAAATCTAGATATTATATCCTTCAGGCAAGTTTATCCAGCTTTTCAAGGTCATGCAACTTTTTGGTTACAGAGCTGGTCTAAAGATCAGGTGACCTGTGTCATCATTTTGTGCTCATTTTATTCTACAGGTTGCTGCAAACCTATCTTATCTCACAGAATTTCTTTAACTTTAATGTGCATTAGACTCACCTAGGGATCTTGTTAAATGTAGATTCCTCAAATTTGCATTTCTCACCAGCTCCTGGGTTATGCCCACATGGATGCTGAGGAACTGGGAACCACACACTTGGTAATGAAGTGGTAGAAGATTGGTTTTGTAACCCTGGTCTCTTTGGTCTATGTTTTGAGATTAAAGATGACTTTTTAAAAATAACTGATCTAATCTCATGATCAGATGTTTGTTGATATTTAATTGGTATGTGAAAAAGCAAACATCTGCTATTCTACAAGGTGTTTCAAATAGCTAACAAAATATTTCTAAAAACATGTAATAAATCTTGTTTTGGTTTTGACACCCGATCCTCCTCTCTGGGCCTCTGACCCTTAGGTAAGGAAAAGCTTTCAACAGGCAGGTGAGCAGCTTCTGAGAAGGCAAAGAACAACTCCTAGCTCTGCCCAAGAACTTCAGAGAATCTGCTTTATGGGACATCAGTGTTCCTCCTTCTAGGACCTGGGAAAGCGTTGGCTGCAGAGATACTCACAGACAGCCTTACTTGGTATGAGAGAAAGAAGAGGCAGGGGAGCAGGTACAATGTTTAATTCAAAGGAGGCACAATTTTCTTCAGATTATCAAAGTATCTCATACCCTTTACAAATAATTTGCAAGATACTTAAAATAACAAAAGAACTTTTTAGCTTACCCAAGAGCTCAAGATCTAGCTTATAGGTTTTACACATTTACAGTGAGTTTCAGCTAGATGAAGACATCCACTGGTGGGCAAAACAGTTTTGCTCACACTCCATATTTAGGGTTATGTGCTGTGATTGGTTTAACATTCTGTTAGAAGCATCTCCCTGTGTTACTAAGGATTCTTAGTTAACATAATTTCTGACGGTGGCATAATTTTTTCCTTGTTTGTCCACATTATAATTTTCTTAGCCCTTCCTTTCAAGATAATTTTTAAGTTTTTACTGTTAGGATCACCGTTGAAATGCATGTTGGTTTACATGTTTTGTGGTTTTCCCACAATAAATCCCTACCTCTGAAGTTAGTAGAACAATGATATTCCTGAATTTTAAGACCTGTTCCACATGGCAGAGTTGGTTTCCAGAACTGCTGTTTTCCAGAATAGAAGTTTTACAGGTGTCCTCTTTAGCCCATCTTCAGAGCCTTCCTCCATGGGAAAGTTCACCATCTCCCAGCTATTTCCTTTCCAATTGTTTTCCTAGTCTTTCCACCATCTCATTATCAGAGAAGTGGCAGTGGACCAATTTGGTTCTTAATGCACTTCAACTAATTGCACCGTATGTTACACATTTGGGTCACAATAGTTTTGGATTTTGTTTGTGTGTCTTCAGGGAAGAAAATGAGAATGAGCCAACAGAGGAAGGGATTAGTGATATGCGAAGCCCAGCTCTCCATAACTTCATTCACTCTCTTCATTGCTGCAGGTCACCAGGAGGTGTACAGAAGAGGACTGAGGACAAAGACTCACCCAAGATGGCCTTTTTGGTCCATCTTAGTTATCTGATGATTTATTTGCTGTTAAGTCCATAATTAAACATCTATAATTTAATAGCGGGTTCTTTCCTACCCCCAGCTTGGGTTTTGTTTTTGTTCAAAGTCCAATGTCTTTGCATGTGGTAGGCTTGAGAATGCATTGCATTGCTCAGGAGTGCAATACCTTATATCATCCTGGCATTGCTGTTTGGAGCACAGCCAGGTAAGAGTCAGGGCATAATGCCGAGGACCCCAGGGAAGGCCCTGTGGTCTGCCAAGGAAGAGGTCATGAGGGGGAGGTGGGATGCATGATGATACAGATTCTTTGCTAGGAGGTGAGTGAGGAGGAAGCATGGAAAGGAAATGAGCCTCAGATTTGCAGGAGAAGCTCCAAGCACTGGGAGGAAGATGCTGAAGTACAAAATTGATCGGCCCACAGTTTGATCTGAGCCTGGCCTCAAGCAGAACCCAGAACTGATACTAAGCCTTAATCATTGTCTCAAGGACTTGTCCAGGCTCAGTAAGCACTGCTCTGGCTGATCCTGTGTTGACTGACTGTCATGCAGTAAGACATGACCTGTCCTCAAACCCCAATTGAGAAAAATCTACCCTATCCATTTATAGAATATTTACTCAGTGCCTGAAGAATGTGTCTCTGACCTTGGATCCTCACTACACCCCTTCTTGATGTCAGTGTGTCATTTAGTGAGATAATACAAATGCAAAGTTAGCTTGTGTACACAGCTCTGAGTATTATGTACCCTTACACAGTCTGGGTGTCACTCTCTCAAGTCAAGGCTGGGGACAGGCATCTTCTCAGAGTGTGGGGAGGGGCTCTTGTAGAGCCTTCCAGTAGTCTCCTAATGGCTGCCCCCACCAGCCATGCACATGCAGTTTCCTTGGTCTAACAGCTCACAGACCCTGCTCGGGTCATCCTTTGCTCATTTCCAGTCACCCATGCTGTGTCCTTACATCCTCTCTCTTTCCTCACTCTCATCTCAGAGAAGGACTCTGAAAGGAGAAGACTTCTGGAGGTGGTCTTTCTTTTCTAGCTTTTTTCACGCACACAATGACTTGCTCTAAATTCAGATATTCTGAATGTAGAAAAGAAGGCTCCTCTGGGGTCTAGAACTGGGCATTCACTTGCCTCTTCTAAAGGCAACTATGTTCTCCTTTGATGCTGGACAGAATTCTGAATCCCCAAACTGGAACAGGACATAGGTAGAGGTTTTCACTTGTCAGTGACTCCACTATCAGTGACTCCACTGTCAGTGACTATCACTAATTTATTTGTGATTCAGCCAGTGGTGCTCAGCTCCTAGTGGCATGTGAGGACCTGTGATATCATCAGCATGGCTAATTTCTTCAAGGAGGATGAATAACTTCAAATGACATGACATTCTGAAGATTTCTGCTCTGCATAATGTCTGCGAACCTGGCCCCCTCCCTCCAGGCTCCATCCTGCAGAGTGCATGGGCACTGACTATAATCATGGAGAAGATTGTGAATTCTGAACAAACTGTCCACTGTCAGATCTCCAGGGAATGTATATGGAAGAACCACTCTTCAGGGTTGACAGACATAGAATACTCTTTTCACTTCACAAAACTGGGCCAGCAGAACCCACCAGATGAGGTCCCTTTTATGTTAACAACAGACTGACCTAGATTCATGGGGATCGGCCATGGAGAGGGAAGGGATGTTGCCTTCTTTACAAAAAGGAATGGAAGGGTCATTTTGCTTGATCCCTAATACAGCTGTTTCAAGTCAGTACAATTATCCCCTTTGCCTGATTAAAAACCAAAGCTCAGAGATGCTGAGGATACTGCAGAAGCTCATACAGTTGCTGACACAGCTGTGACTAGAATGGACAATTTTTGCATTTGAATGAACATGCTATAGCATACAGAGAACCACAACCCATTGCCTATGAAACACAAGATGAGTTCCAACTCTTAAATATTTTACTGGTACATCCAAACTGGGTCGTCTTTCCCTATCCCCTCTTGAGATACCTTGAATATTAAAACAAGGTAGGATCTCACAGACCCCCCGGGTCTTGGAGACTTGGAAGAGGTGGCTGCTGTAGGATGGGGAATGCAAGAGTTCAGGCACTGCTCAGGGCTCTGGGTGACAGCCAGCCCAGATACTTTAGTCCCCACCTCCCAAGGAAAACCTGAGGTCCAGAGCAAGACCTATTTTAGACCTCTGATAAAGTTTGGAAGCAAACTCTGACAAGATTATGGGGAGGGGGCCAGGGATTTAGCTCAGTGGTTCCACCACCTGCCTTGCCAGCGGAAAGACCCAAATTCAATCCCCAGTACAAAAAAAAAAAAAAAAAAAATTATGGGGAGGAATAGAATTTGGAAGTTGAGTCTTGCCAAATTAGAGAGGGTAGGGAGACAGATTTGGGTTTCAACTGAAATAAACAGTAAATAGAATCTATTCAATTCCAAGAGGAGCCTGCAGTAGTCAAATTATCTATAACAGAATCTCAAACCCATACAATTTAACACAAAAATATTCAGTATAAAGTAAAACATTACTGAACACTGACAGAATTCAAGAAAATGTGATCGATCGTTGCACATTATGTGGGGTGTGGAGGGGAATGTGTGCATCAATAGAGTCTGACCACAGTCTCACCACAAGATAACCCTTAATATGGATTAAGCAGAAAAAAAAAACCCTTTAAAACAGTTACTATAAAAATGTTTTTTCAAAGTAAAGGAAATAGAGGCTACAAAACATGAAATAATCAAATACAAATTTTGGGTGAAGAATTTATTGAATGGTAGTATCAACACATTAGCCATATGGAAAGAAGAGACATTGAACTTGATCCCATATCCAAAGAAATTATCTAATCTGAAGAGAAAATAAAAGGACAAAATTTTCAATGGAGTCTTCGGGCTGGCTATGTGGGTCAATATCATAAAGTCAAACATACGTATAAATGAGATTTTTCAGAAGAATAGACCAAAATGATTCAGAAAAAATGCTTGAAATGTTACTGAAGAGTTAAAAAGTTTGATGAAAAACACTGATTTATAAGAATTTCAATAAACTACAAGCAGAATAAATACAAGAGAAACCACCTATAGGTATATTACAATGAAACTACTTAATTTCTGCAAATGAAAACTAGCTAAAACAAAAAATAATATCATAAGGTAGGATTTATTATGTGTGAAGAAATAAAAAGTGATGTGAGTACTAAAAAAGGGATTGTGTTCACAAAATCATACTATTCTTTAGTTATCACATCTGGAAAGCATCAGGTGTAAAGTGTAAGTGGAAGCTGTAGCCTCAGAAGTGGAAAGGTTAGGTGGGATGAATTCAATAGATCATGAAAGTTAAAAACAGATTGTTAGTTCTAGAGCAATCACTAAGAAAAACAACAATATTGCTGATAAATTAATAGAGGAAATAAAAGAGATTATTGTGTCCTATTAGCCCGGCCCCTTCTCCACCAAAAATAAAGATGAAAAACAGAAAAACAACAACAGAGAAATAAAAATAGAAGGCAAAAATGGACTTCAACCCAACCATACAAATAATCACATAGAAGGTTGCTACAGTTTTGATCTTGAATGCACCCGCTCCCTAAGGTCCACATCGCCAGTATGGAGCTATTGGGAATTGGTAGGAACTTTAAGAGGTAGGGTCTAGAGGCAGTCTTGGATCACTGGGGCTGTGCCCTCAAAGGAGATTGTGGGATCCCAGTTTATTTCTCTTTCTTTTGCTTCTCAGTTATGAGGTGAGTGGTTTTTGTCCCACCACACACTCAGCCATGATGTCCCACCATAGGCTCAGAGCAGTTGGCCCAAACAATCACGGACTGAATTCTCTTAAACTGTGAATCAAAACAAATTTCCTCTTTATAAGTTGGTTATCTCAAGTATAATCAACTGGAAAGCTGACTAATACAAATTAAATGAACCTAACACTCTTATTAGAGCCTCTTAGAGTAAAAAGAGAAAAAGGAACATGCACATCCATTGTTTTACAAGAGACACAGAGAAATTCCAAATTCATGTAGCTTTGCCAGTGAATTTTATTAAACATTTAAGGAAAAAGAGAATTCACTCTTACTCAACCCTTTCAGAAATTGGGAGTGGGAGGGATGCTGTCATCTCATTTTATGACTATATCATCTATCTGACTCCAAAATCAGAAGAAACATATAATACTGAAAAAGAAATCAGCAGAAAAATATTCCTCATGAACATATACACAAAATCCTTAAAATATTAACCAGTCATTTCTGTAGTTGAGTCCACTTTCTCATTCTCAGTTCTCATACATTATCTCTTTATCCTTTAGTTAAATTTATCAGAATTTAGTTTGCTTTATTGATATCTAAAAAGACTCACATGCTTCAATATTTATTATTCATTAATTCATGCTTTATTTTACTATAGTTCCAGCTTTTAGATTGAATTAAGGCTTTGTGTATGTGTCTAGAATGTATACTTTCTTCTGTTTTATTATGTTTCAATACTGTCTTTGAAAAGACTGAAAATATATATATCTAGCAAATTAACTCTATTATACTATTCAGTGTCCTCAAAACTCATTTGTGATTTTTGATTTGATCTATTAAAGATTTAGGGAACTGATTTAACTTGATTATGTTCCAGTTACTTTCTCTCCCCATTAATAGGAGTTTATTTAACCTTGATGGCTGATGGCTGGTTATCTAGCATAATTGCGCCCTGATGTCTACTGAGAGCAGTTACCACTATTGATAGTGTCATTAATGCTGAAAACACTTCCCATTTACCTTTACATGCCCACTGGGGAAGCTGGCTCCCCTAAGAAACCTTTCCTTGATTCCTGAACTTCCCTTCTCTGCATTCTCTTGGCAGCCCGAGCTTCTTTCTCTTGTTACTCTTACAGTGTTTTATTAATAGGATGTACCAAGTGATGTTTTTTCTCATTAGATTGTGAATTCCATTAGAGTGGAGTGCATGCCTTTTTTAGTAAAATTCCAATTTTCACCATAGTTCTTGGACTTGAGAAGAGGCC